TCTCTTCCTGGCACTAAATTGGATGCAAGAATGGAGGGAATGGTGCAGGTTTCAAAGCTATTTGATAATCCGGGAGAAAGAGAAGGGTGGATTTGTGTTTGGGTAAAGGGATTGCAGGTAATTTTTCCACCTTCATTTTTTCTCTCATTTCCAAACTTTGTTTAATGAGCATGTGTTATTTTCATAATAGGGAAAAATAACATGGTTTTAGGAAGATGAGCCTTACAAGTGTTCTGCCTGAAAGTCCCTCAGAGCCTTTGGGACTATCTGCTAAGCTAGGGGCCTCTGTGTCTGTTCAAGAATTCACACCCACATGCTAACCCGTAATGTTCCAGGTTCTGCCCACAGTCTATACTGAGAGGATGTAATTTTCCATAGGCCAAAGACTTAAGTAAGAGCAAAAGTTGGCAGATATAACAGCAACTGAGCAGGAAGAGAGAAGAGAGATGGCTTGCAACTAATACGTAAAATCCAAGCGTTCATTCATTCCTTTATCTAGTCACAAATATTAAGCACCCACTGTGTACCGGACACTGTGCTAGACGCTGCAGATACAGAAGTAAACAAAATGACAAAGTCCTATTACACATTCTAGGAGATAAGTTAGACTGTCTATGAATATAAATTCAACTTCCTGTACTCCCTCCCTCATTTGAAGAGGTAGAGCTACATGCCATACTGCTGTTTACTGACAAGAGTGGTTTAGGAAACTTTGAGAAGTAATTACAGGTTTGATGATTCATAGCCATACTAAATGTGGCAGCTGTAAACAGAGACCTATGGGTGCTGTGGTGTTTGTGACTGGGTTGCCGGGGTTGGGTAATGCTGTTTCTAGAACAGGGTTTTCAGTATCGCTTTCATGTGTACCTATGTATACTTACAAATGTAACTCAAACTTCACCATATCTGGCCAGCCAGTGAGTACAAATGAGCTTACACTAAAATAACAGCACACATTTTAGTAATATGTTCTCCCAACCATATAAATGGAGACCTTTGCAATCTTTTCTCCCATGCTTATATGTGGGATCATCCAAGGTATCTCATATATTCACAAACAGGCTTCTTATTTATTTTCTGGCATCGGCTATAGAAACAGCTATTTGGAGCAGCTTCTTGCCCCAGCCCTTTGTAGGGATTCTGTTTTCTTATGCAGGAAGCAGTTTAAGAAATCCTCCAAACTATAGCTCTGGGGACAGAAAAACTCTCTTCCGTGGAAAAAGTACCCCTTTCCCCAACACTGTGGAAAGACCGAGCTGAGCCAGTTCAGGTCAAGTGTTAGGACTCCGTAAGCACTAGCTCTAGAAGCAACTAACAGTGCCTGGGTTCACCCGAGCAACATTGCTTGTGACCCTCTGTCTCAGAGAGTTCCTTGTAAAAATCAGCACCTTCAGCTTCCGCCTGCAGACTCCTCTCTACTGAGCACAAACCTAGTCCACAGGCTGGTCTGGGGAACAGCCTCACGGTGGCTTCTCCACCTTCTCAGCTCCAACCCCCAGGCACAAATCTCCCCTGGGGCAGAGCAACTCAGCTTGGGCCCTCCGGTCACCAGACAGGCCTCGCATGGCTAAATCTCAATTAAGGGCAAGTAGGATGGAGAAAAATTAGTTTTAAAAAGATCAGGCAAGGTTTAGGAGGGTATGAGGAAAAACCCATCCCATACCACTGAAAAAAGGAGGAATTTACAGAGAAGAAAGCAGGCTGGAATCAGTATAAGCCACTCAGGACAGGGTGAATCAAAATGCAAATGGACCAACCCAAATAGGTACCTCCTCCCCATGCTGCTAGGTCCACTCTGTCTCACAGATAACGCACTGTCTTAGAACTACTATAGAGTACAGAAGGCCTCTGAGAACCAGGAATAGAAGACAGAAGAGAAATTGCCAGGAACCATTTCTAAATTTTAAATCTGTAAGTTAGAATCCAAATTTTCTTTGATTGCAAGTTTTCCCCTAGAGAGGTTAAGGGCCCTTTCAGATGCCACCTTCTGTCCCTTTCTCAGCACTAGAAGGTCAGTTCAGGAACCTACTATTATTCCCATGCCCTTGACTGAAGTTAGTGATTTACAGAAATAGACTGAAATCCCCATCCCCACCCCCAACAAGCTGAAGATGCTGAAGAGAACACCCAGAGACAGACTTGGCCGTCTCCAAGCCCAACTCAAATGCTGCCTGCTCCATGAAGCCCATCTGGAGCTCTCACTCCCAGATCCATACTCCTTCATCTTTTTCTCCTTCTTATAAAGCTCTAGGGGAGGTTGATTTTGGCTCCCTTCACCCTGTAGTGTAGTGATCAACTTCTGTGGCAGATGCCAGCCCTCATTGCAGCAATCCCTGCAGCCCCATGCAAAGCCTCCCTCCTGTAACAGACACTCAGTAGGCAATTATCGAGTCAAGTACAGTCCCAGAGAACTACTTATTAACACAACTCCTGTAAAGTGGTGAAAGATTTTCTGGCATTCTCTTTTCTGAAGTCCCTGCTGGCACATATTATGGTAATTGTCAGGATGTTTTCCAAAAGGGATAATGGCCTACCCAGAACTGACACCCAGCCAGTTCAAATCTCTGCAGCATAAAGGCCTACACCCGTTCTGATTAGCCAGGCCCTTCTCCTGGGTCACTCCCACACACTCCTATGGTCTAGATTCTCTGGGCTCCCCACTGCCTTTGCATACTCACTTCCCTCTTCCACCATCAGGCAGCCCATATGCATCCTTTGAAGCCCAGCTTAACAGTGGCCTCCTGTGTGGAATCCCTCTGGCCTCTCCTCCCAGAGGAGTGAATACTCTTTCTTCTCTGTTCCCTAGCACCCTGCATACTCCCATACAGCACTTCTTTTATGCTGAGATTGTTTTATGTTCCCAGCCCCCCAACTTATGTGAGCTTACGTTTCACTTGTCTTGGCAGATCCAGCAAAACACATTGCCTGGCAGAAGTAGGAACTCAACAAATGTTTCTTGAATGAATGAATGAATGAATGGGCATGACTCTTGCAAATGCTTTCTAAAAAAGATGGCAAGGAAATCCCCTGAGACATGCAAAATTAACATTCCTATTAGTTTGTTATATACAGATTTATGTCTTGCTTTTCAAATTTAAAAATAATAAGGCCTAAGTTTGAGGCCTTGCTAGGTGCTGAGTGTTTCACAAGCATTATCTTGTTAGAATCCAAACCACCATCTGAGGCAGAGATGATTTTTACTTTGCTTTACAGTTGAATTAACAGAAACCGAGAAAGGTTAAGAAATGTGTCCAGATTCATATAGTTGGTAAGTGGGAGTCTGTTTGGCTTGAAAGCCTGTGCTTTCAACTGTCTCACTTTCCATCTAACACACATTACAGTCAGGACATTTTCCTATGGCATTAAGCTATTTTTAATGCCTTTATTTAAAAAGGCATTAAAGGAGAAGCTTCTACAGATGACTGACCGTAGTGCCTTATTAGTCAAAGTGCGGTGCACTCACCAGGAGCGCTCATACCACTTGGGAGCTTGTTAGAAATGCAGGATCTCAGGTTCCAACCCAAATGTACTTAATCTGAGTCTGCATTTTAGCAAGAACCTTAGTGACATGTAAGTACATTGAGGTCTGAGAAGCACTGGTTTCGATCAGGAATCAGCAGAAGACAGCCCACGGTCCACTCCAGGCCACCCCCCTGTTTCTGTATAGCCCTGAAGCTAAGAATGGTTTTTACATTTTTCAATGGTTGATAATTTTTCAGAAAAGGAATACTACTTTGTAACATGTGGAAATTATGTGAAATTCACATTTCAAGCCGGGCTCAGTGGCTCACACCTGTAATCCCAGCACTTTGGGAGACTGAGACAGGCAGATCACAAGGTCAAGAGATCAACACCATCCTAGCCAACATGGTGAAACTCCGTCTCTACTGAAAAGTACAAAAATTAGCTGGGTGTGGTGGTGCGCGCCTGTAGACCCAGCTACTCGGGAAGCTGAGACAGGAGAATCACTTGAACCCGGGAGTCGGAGGTTGCAGTGAGCCAGGATCGTGCCAGGGGACTCCAGCTTGATGACAGAGTGAGACTCCATCTCAAAAAAAAAAAAGAAAGAAAAGAAATTCACATTTCAATGTCCATAAATGAAGTTTTATCGAAACAAGTTCATTTATTCAACTACTGTCTATAATTTCTTTTTTGTGCTGCAACAGCAGACTTGAGTAGGTATGGTGGACTATGTGGCCCACAAAGATATTTACTATCCGGTTCTTTATGAAAACATTTGGCCAACCCCTTCCTAACTCTATCCCTCACCTGTCACCCACAACCCTGTGGTTCATAATGCAAGTGGGGAAAAGGGCTACCATCATGTGGGAAGTCTAATGGGGAAAGACCATCCCAGCGAGACCCAGATTTCAACTGAGGCCTGGGGCCGAGGGAATCTACCATGGAGTGAAAGTCCAGAGGCTAGAGGAAATGGAGTTATCATAAGATGTGGTAAGGCAGGGGTGAGGATGCAAAACAATGAAAACGAGAGTATGGATGACTTTGGAGGCAGCTCCTCAAAGGTGAGTGTGGAAGTCCGGGCAAGGCCAAGGATGAAAGATCAGTGCAGTTTTCAGCCTCAATTTTCTCCGACAAAGCCTCAATTTTCTTAAGGCTGCTGCAGGTTGAAGGATTGGGTGATATCCAAGGAGTTGAAATTGAGAAATTGAAAGAACTTTTAAGCTGTGAGGGTAAAAAGGTATCCTCATCCCTAAGAAATGCTAAACTTGATGTGTACAAGGATGAAATTAACTAGCTCTCTATCCTCAATTGGAAGCAGTAGCTGCCTGCATAAGGAGCTTGTTACATATGCCAACTCCCAATCCCACCCTGAGACTGTCTGATTCAGTGGGAATTTGTATTTTCACAAGCATGCTAGATAATTCTGATGCTTTGAGAAATACTGCCTCTGTGAATGAGGGAACTCGAGCCTCAGGAAGGAGTTAGCTGCAGCTTGAGTAGGTCATGCTTCTAAAAGCAATCATTTATATGGGGGAAGGTTTTCTGTTTTCTGGAGCTGTGTAGGACTTCAGCAAGAGGGAGTGGCATTAGAGAGGAATTTCTAGGCTCTAACTGCTAATGAGGTGGGGCAAGTAGAACACTGCAGGCATCTGAGAAACCCATAGAAAGGCATGAGCTAAGAGAGGGTGTCGGAGGAGCTCGGGACTGACACTGAGGGTCCTAATCCAGAGAATCCTACCAACTTAGATGTGGAGCACATAACGGCCAAAGAACAGAAATGCTTGCCTCTCCCTCATAATGTGAGGATCTCAAGCGATACTTAACAGATTAGGGTGCTCAGAGTTCAGGGTCACCCTAGGCAGGTGGCAGATCTCATATGTATTTTCAGTTGTCTCAATTTTGTTACATTTTATCCCTACTCCCACCATACCCACAGTCTATATGACTGCCTATATATATATATTTCTCTCACGTGCTAGATGGCGGCTCAGTACCAAGTAAATTATGATATGGGCTCCCAAGGAATCTCTAACACAGGGTAGATGCACAGTGACAACTTATTTTTCACAGATTAGAAAAATAAAAATATCAGGTGACATGAATACAGACAATGTCTCATGAATTAATAATTAAGTTCCCTAGAAAAGATAGATAGGCAGAAGGAGGACAGGATGGGAAATCAGTGCTTGTTTTAATCTGCTTTGGAGCTACTGTGGAAAACCAGTTATCTTCTCCATTTTTCTGTGTTTCCTGCTTGTTTAAGGAAATCATGCTGGAAGCAACCAAATTTGAGGTGCAGCACGAAACATCTGTCCTTTTTGGCTTTTTATTGAGATGTTCATTCAGCTTTTGCATACAGCACCTCACTGTTCTTGAAACAAAATTTTTAAAAAACATTGCCAGGCTTTTAAAGCTATTGTGCAGGGTTGCTATTAGGAATTCACTGCACTTAGACGCTCCAGCCCACCCAGGAATATAGGTCTGACCCGTAAGGATAATAAATCAGGGAGTGAAATCCAACAAAGGCTGACACTCCCTGTGCAGTTATTTTTCAACCCAGAGGCTGCTTCTGCATATGATATCACTTATGTAACTTTTCTTTGCAAGGACCCCTCTGTTGCCCCAATCTAGCCTCCACACCCATCGCTCCCCATATCATCAGCATGACGACATTTTTGCTGCTCCACCCAGCTGTGAATTTGCCAACAGTTTAAGGATGTAGACATTGAGTAAACAAAGATACAAAACTGAAGCTGGCTTTTGTGCAACTAGCCTTCAAGAGTTGCAGTTCTGTTCTTTCAGGTTTAAATTTTCAGTGCAATAGAATGAGAAGACTGCCCAAACAATATTGCAAAGCTGCTTAGGAATTCCCATCACTAGAAATAGTATTATGTTACTTTGGGATAAAAGATTTTCAATTTATAGTGTAGCTCCCATGTAAGGATATGGATATGAATCTAGAACAACCTTGCTAGTTTCTATATGCCAGACTTAAAAATAACTGTCTGATTAAAACCTTTTTTTAAAAATTCCAACAATACTGAGTGACCATCAATTCTTTAAAAAATGGAAACTAACTAATGGAAATTTTCTTCAGAGAATCTGACCTATTAAACGTGACATTAAATATTTATCTATTTTAAAAGCTCCAAATGTCAATGAAAACATAAAGCCGTCAAATGCTAGGAGCATTTCATTAAGAAAGCAGCTTCAAAAATTGATGAGAGTTTTATAAAGTTAGGAACTCTCAAGCTTTACCTGATGGTGAAGAAGCTTCTAATATTTTCTTTATTGTAATCTTTATATAACTAAAGCAACATCGACTTCAATGGGAAGTTATGATAACAGTACTACAGTGAAACTGATTGCCACAAACAGAAGAAGTGAGGAATAGATTGGATAATCAGCACATACAACAACTCAAAAGGATCATTTTAGTGATTTCTTTTCATCTTCTCTACTACTGAGTATTTCAGATAAGGATGTTTTTGGCTGCAAGTAACAGAATATCCAACTAACAGTGGCATTAAAAAAAGGGGGGGTTCTGGTTTTCTGTTACTGTAATATATAAAAAAACAAAATTTAGTAGCTTAAAGTAACAATTATTCTGCTCCTAGTCTGCAATTTGGGAAGGGCTTGGTGAGTGGCAGCTTGTCTCTTCCGCTTGGCGCCAGCTAGGGCACTTGAAGACTGGGGCCAGAGTCACCTGAAGGCTGCTTCACACCTGTGTTTGACAGTTCTTGCTGGGAAGGCTCAGAGAGCTGGTGGCTTCACTCCCATGTTTGACAGTTCTTGCTGGGAAGACTTAGAGAGCTGAGGGCTGGGACAGCTGGAGCTCCTCAGGCATCTTGATCTCTATGTGTTGTCCCACATGAGTTCTTCAGCATGGCAGCTTCAGTGTAGACTGACTTCTAACATGTCAGCTCAACATTCCCGAGGCACATGTCAGAGAGAAGAAGAAAAAGGCAGAAATCTGATCACTTTGTGTGACCTAGCATGGAGAGTCGTGTAGGGTCACATCTACTGAATTCTATAGGTTGGAATCAAGTTGGTAAGACTGGCCTATATTCAAGGGAGGGTGAATTAGACTTTGCTGGGAGGAGTGTCAAAGAATTTGTGGCCTTGTAGGCTGGACGTGGTGGCTCATGCCTTTAATCCCAGCACTTTGTGAGGCTGAGGCACGCAGATCACAAGGTCAGGAGTTTGAGACCAGCCTGACCAACATGGTGAAACCCCATCTCTACTAAAAATACAAAAATTAGCTGGGCATGGTGGCAAGCACCTGTAAATAATCTCAGCTACTCAGGAGGCTGAGGCAAGAGAATCACTTGAACCTGGAAGGTGGAGGTTGCAGTGAGCCGAGAAGGAATTTGTGGCCTTGTATTAAACCTACCACAAAGGGAGTTATTTTTCATGTATGATGTCTAAAGGGAAGCAGTCCTATATAATATGGGGCTCCATGATCTAATAAAAACCAAGAGTTCATCTATAAATCTGCTCTACCATTTTTAGACTGGCATATTGTCTCAAAGTTGCAAGCTGACTGCTATAGATCCAGACATTGTAGCCATGTTCAAGACCAAGAGAGTTGGAAAGAATAGTGCCTGCAGTTCTGGCCACTTTTATTAGGAAATCAAAAGCCATTCCCAAAACCCAACTCGGCAGAATTCTGCTTATGCCACATTGGCGCAAACCGTTACAAGGCCACCCCTTGCTTCAGGGGAGGTTAGAGCAGTGACTATTCAGCTTCCCCTTTCTCTATTATAGAGGGCAGAGAGGGTAAAGAGAGCCATAAATGGGCATTGGGTCAGTCAAGCCATGCTTCTGCCCTGCAAAGCGTCCATATCAGACCCAAAAAATCTCAAGTAAGTAAGAGCTTCCAAGAACTTCACTCCCTCAGCCAAGGTTAACTATAAAATGACCCAAATACGCTTAACAGACCAAGAAAAAAAGTATTGGCCAGTGAATGGAACTTTTTACTACTCTATTTTTGCAAATAGAATCAAAAGCTAGATATTGAATCTAGTGAATTGTTTCTACAGTTTAAACAGGAAGCCGAATTGGTTTCCCACAGAGCCATTTGCTGACAAGATAGGAGGGACAAGGAAGGGGAGAGACCACTGACTGCTGATAAAATGTTAAAGCTGCCCTGCAGATTACCTTGGCTTCAGAGGCCTGGGGCCTAAAAATAATTTAGGGGCAAGGCAAAGAGGAACTCTCAACTTGTAAACCTAACCCAAATTTTATATCTTACTTTCTAGAACATTCCTTCTTTTAAGCTTCTGTTACTAGTGAATGGAAAGAGGAAAAACATTTTGAATTCATGGATTTTATCTAACCCATCTGCAACACTTATTCAAATTTGATCTTTAAAGTTTTATAACATTCAGCTAAAGAAGATCAAAACTCCTTTCTTTCCCCCATGTAAGCACAACACTCTACCCACCCCGCCAATTGGCCAGTCTACCTCATGCTACCCTCTCACACAAAAATTTTTAAAAATCACACTACAGCAGATATTTTTCTGGACCCTTCATTCATACAAGTCTTGGCATATTACCCCAACGATAGCTAAAAATGAGACAATCGGATTTATTGACTGCTAGTGTATAGAACTCTCTTCCAGGTAATTTAACAGGTGTCATGAAAATGTGTGCTTAAGGGAGGGTGCTGAATGTGAAGAAAAAATGCACCACAGTGAGAACTCCAGTACAATCCCAGGCTACAACTTCCAATGTCTGGTTAATGCTCAGAGAAGATGGAATAAGGAAAGGAAACATTTTCCTTTAAATTGAAAGAACTCTGACATAAGGAAATTAAATAATTGATCCAAACAGAATGAAAAGCACCAAGGCATTTACAAGCACTCCCATTTACAGTTTAATTTAGAATAGAAAGTAATGCAGGTCTATATCTAAACAATGGCTAACTTTATCTAACACAAAATAGACTCTTCTTAAACAAAACTCATAAAATGTATACTATGAGAGTTATCAATCCTTTTGTGAATCATTTATAAGCTAATGCTCTGCTTTCAATGTTTCTATCAACTGCAAAGTTTAATTAAGAAGCAAAGAATGGGCTTATAGAGATCATGACTCCACAGATTTCTTACTCATATTTCAAATTATAATCATGTTATGATGAAGTTTGATCCTCATGGAGTGTAACGAAATAATATATCTGAACTTTTTATTATTACCAGTTTGGAGACCTACTATAAGATACTTCAGATACTCCCAAGCCACATAGCAAAATTCGTAAATGCCGTAATCATCGTAAATGTATTCTGTAACTCTCAAAAGCAACTGTCAACAGTTCTAGGCCCAGGATAAGTGTTCGATTCATAGTCATTAAATTTCATTGAATATTCAACTTCTTTCACAAACTCATATATAATCTTTGTGTACGAAAATATTTTGGAGATTGGATATTCCCCCCGCCCCCATTTCCAACTGGAAATTCCCATTGGGTTTTAAATGAAAAGATTTATTAGATCTACTCAATTAGGTGACAAGATTAATAGTCTCCATTAAATACTAATTTGCTTTTTATTCTGTGAAGATTAACACAGATGTAAAACAGGGGCTGGCCACCCCCAGAACATATGTCTAAGACAGCAAGCAAGCTGAGAGTAATTTGGTACATGAGCTGGTTGTCCCTTCCATGCCACCTTTCCACTGACGGTTTTGCTGAAAATGAGATTTAACAGCAAAGGTTTCTCTTTCCTACATCATGCCCGACTTCCTCAGTGATAGTAGTTTTGGATGTGAGTCACACACACACATATACAATTTAGATCAACAAGCATCTACCAAGTGCCCATTACCAGGTGCTATGCTGGAATTAGGTGCAGCCTCAGGAGTCAAACTCTCTAAATTCACACCCCAGTTTATCTCTGAGTAGCTGGATAGCCTCAGGCAAGTTCCTCTGTCTTTCGAAGCTCTAGCTGTTTTATCTGCAAAATGAGGATACTAATAATACCTACTTCACAGGAGTTTGTGACTTTCAAAAATGATAATTTGTATATATATACACGGTTGCCTGGCATCTAGTATGCGCAATAAACTTAGCTATAATCACCACCAGCATCCTGGCAGCATGGTCTCACAGTCTTTATCCCCAGGGTGAAAAGACACATAGACATTATGCCTATTTTTTGTTCGATGGTTAGCGGACTTCAGAAAAGAGGCATTTAGCTCAACCTGGAATTCAAAGAAGGTCTTTGAGCTGGGGTGAGTCTTTGAGCTAAGGTGAGTAGAGTTAGCCAGATAGAGAGGTATTTTGGCCAGGCATGGTGACTCATGCCTGTAATCCCAGCAGTTTGGGAGGCTGAGGCAGGCAGATCACTCAAGGTCAGGAATTCGAGACCAATCTGGCCAACATGGTGAAACCCCATCTCTACTAAAAATACAAAAATTAGCCAGGTGTGGTGGTGGGTACCTGTAATCCCAGCTATTCGCAAGACTGGGGCAGGAGAATTGCTTGAACCTGGGAGGCAGAGGTTGTAGTGAGCCGAGATCATACCATTGCACTCCAGCCTGGGCAACAGAGCAAGACTCCATCTAAAAAAAAAAAAAAAAAGTATTTCAGGGGAAAGACCTTGAGCAAAATCATTAGGAGCATGTTGTGTACAGAAACTGGATGTGGTTTGCTATTATGAGACAAGAAACTCAAGAGAGGGAGGGATAGAAGATGAGGCTCATGAGGGAGATAAGGACTAGGTCACAAGAGGTCTCATAGGTCATGTTAAGGTGACTAAATTTCCTCCTTATAGACCACATTTCCTAAGACAGTTTATAGAAATTTCTAGTGTTCCTAGAGGTATTTCATGAAAAGTTCCTTAATATTCGTCAACATAATAGCTTCACTGTGACTTCTGTTTAGAAACACCCTAAATTTCACCCCTTTAGTAATTCACAGTGCATGTGTTAGCATACTGAAGGCTCTGAGAAATCTTACAATAAAGCAACCTCTTTGTCTCAATTTAGCTCAATATTTTTGAAATAGATCATATTGCAGGACACCATTTTTACAGAATGCTGAAAGATATTTTGCCAGATTTTAACAAGAGTAATGAATTGGGCAGGTTAGCCTCATAAAATTTCTCTAACTACAGAGATGGAGTTCAAAGGAGCACAGTTGGAGAGAAGGTGTGAATGATGGTAAACCAGGATACAGAAAAGAGAACAGAGTCAAAAAATATTCAGGAGGTAAAATATACAAGTTTTACTGGTAACAATGGAGTGAGGGAGACAGAACTGTCTAGAATAATACTTGGAGTTCTGGCTTGAGTCAAAAGAATAGTAATGCCACTTACTTCAAAAGTAATACAGGAAAACATGATGTTGGGGAAGTAATGAAGGATGGGGAAGGTACAAACTTAGTTTGAAACATGATTAGTTTGAGACACCCATGAGTCTTCCAAGTGAAATTATAGGTAGCACGAGTCACTAAACCATTCTTCAGGCCTCATCTAAACCAGGTCATCTGACAAGTAATTCCTTTCTCTTCCTTAGGAGTCAAAATTTTGAGGTTAAAATTCCATAATGCATCATGTTCATTTTAGCAGCAAATTTACTAATAATAAGATTATTAATTAATCATTCAAATACTCAGGCTTTTCTTAATGCATTCCCAAATTAAAATATGCAAATGTAGGCCAGGCATGGTGGCTCACACCTGTAATCCCAGCACTTTGGGAGGTCAAGAGATGAAGACCATCCTGGCCAAAATGGTGAAACCCTGTCTCTACTAAAAATACAAAAAATTAGCCGGGCATGGTGGTCTGTGCCTGTAGTCCTAGCTACTCAGGAGGCTGAGGCAGGAAAATTGCTTGAAACTGGAAAATGGAAATTGCAGTGAGTCGGGATCACACCACTGCACTCCAGCCTGGTGATAGAGTGAGACTCAGTCTCAAATATATATATATGCAAATAATACATATGTAGACAGGTGAATCTTGCATTACTCAAGATTGATTACTTAAATTCTCACTTAAAAAGTGAATGTGCAATAGAACTACTACCATTATCCAGTGTCACAAATGTACTTAAATAGGTTGATTTCTAATATATAGTAGCAAATCATTTAACAAAACTAATTTTTGTATTTTTATTCTATCTCTAAGCTTCTTAAAAGCAATAGATACATCTTCATGGTTGGGCCCTGAGGGCTCAAAACAGTTTCAGACACATGGAAAGTGTACATTAAAATTTTGTTGAATTAATAACATTAATTAAAGGAAGTCACAGTAATAAACACAAAATTAAGTTTTCAACTCTACTCTGTCACTACTTGATCTCATCCACCCTCTTGGCTTTAAATATGATCTACATGCTAATGATTTCCAAACTGTTATCAGCTCTGCTGTCCCTTTCAACTTTGAAAGTTGAACTTTCAACTTGAGGCTTATAATTTCAACCTTACTTGGCTTTTCCATGTGAATACTCACTAGAGACCTTAAACTTAATGTGTCCCTGGTGGCACTACTGATTCCCTATCTTCACAGTATTCTTTCACCCCTTACTTCTTATAAAAATGTCCCCAATTTTGTTCAGTGAGCCACTGTGTCCAGCTAAAAGCTCAGCCTCCCTTGCAGCTAGAATTGGGCACATGGATATATTGGTTCATAAAGTGGAGATCTCGGGGTGGCTTTCTGAAAAAGCTTTTGCTTTCCTGACACAAGCACTACATCTACTTCTTTCAGCTTTCCCCTTCTCCTGCCTTACATGCAGACCCTATGCCTAAAGCTCAGTCCCTCACTTACATAGGTGAGAGTGAAAGACATGAAAAGGATGGGCAAGGAGAAGAGAGAATGTGCCTGCAATCTCAGTGGCATTTGTGAGCTACCATACCAGCTGGGTCTGCCTATCTTTGATACACTTTTTGTGTGGACAACAAATTAATTGATTAATTAAAGAGCTTGTTTGTTTAAGATATGGTTTGTCAGGATTTTGGTTCCTCTCCAGCTGAACACAACCACACATGATATAACATACAAAACAAACATTTTGATTTTCATCTTCAAAGAGCACCTGATGACTACCTCCCCAACCATCTCATAGGCCTGTTTCCTTCCCAATCATAAACATGTCAGTTTCTACCTGCACCATCCATTCAGTAGCTCAAGAAAATAAAAATTTGGGTACATCCTTAATGGCTCTTCTCTGGCGGTACCTCTAAACTATATCTTCAAACCCACCTCTCTCTACTTCCACCATCCAGCCATCCAACCCATCATCATAGCCTCTCAGCCGCCCACTCTGCTGCAGTCTTGACCCCTGCAATCATCCTCCACACAGCATTCAGAGCAGTTATTAGAAAACACGTATTTGGTCATGTCACTCTCAATTTTAAAACCTTTCGATTGCTTCCTATTTTACTCATAATAAAATCCAAGAGCTTGGCTGCAATGGGCTGAATGTGTCTCCCTAAAATCATGAGTCAAAACTCCATTGTGATGGCCTGAGAAATTGGGAACTTTGGGAGGTAAATAGGTCATGAGGGTATCATGAGAGTCGAGCCTTCATGATGGGACTAATGCCCTTATAAGAAGAGACACAAAAGGGCTTGCTTCCTCTCTCTTTCTCTCTTTGCACCGTGGGAAAGTATAGGAAAAAGAAGTCATCCCTCTGCAAACCACGAAGAAAGTCCTCACCAGGAACTAAATCAGCTGCCACCTGGCTCTTGGACTTCCCAGGCTCCAGAACTATGAGAAATAATTTTTTTGCTGGGTGAAGTGACTCATGCCTATAATCTCAATACTTTGGGAGGCCAAGGCAGAAGGATCACTTGAGCCCAGGAGTTCAAGATAAGCCTGGGCAATAAAGTGAGATTCTGACTCTACAAAAAAATCAAAAACTTAGCCAGGCATGGTGGCATGAGCCTGTGGTCCCAGCTATACAGGAGGCTGAGGCAGGAGGATTGCTTGAGTGTAAAAAGTAGAGGCTGCAGTGAGCTGTGTTCACAGCACTTCACTCTAGCCTGGGTGAAAGAATCAGACTGTGTCAAAAAATAACAATAATAGAAATTTTTTAAATAAATTTTTGTTTAAACCACCTGGTCTATGTTATTTTTGATATAGCAGCCCAAAAAGACTAACACACGAACTGTGGCTTACAAAGTTCTATCTATGTGGTCTGATCTCATCTTGCTCCATTTTCTCTTTTGCCCACTGCACTCAAGCCACACTGCTTTCACTTCATTCCTCAAAACCACCGAACGTTGTCCCATCTCAGGGTCTCTGTACTTGCTGTTCACTCTGCTTCAATTCCTTTTCCACCTGGCTCTTCCCACTGTTGGCTCCTCCTCATCATTCAGGTTTCAGCTCCAATGTCACCTCTTTAGAGAGACCTTCTCTAACCACCCTATCTCACCTGCGTTTCGTGATCTCAACACCCTAAGTTATTTCCTTCATATGTTTGTCTGTCTGTCCGTCTAAAATTATCTTGCTTATTTCCTTGTTACTTTTTGTCTCCTTCTTCTAGATTAAAAGCTTCATGAAGTGCAGGGACTGTGTCTATCTTATTCACCATTCCATCCCAACATCTAGAACAATATTGGCACAAATTAGGCCCTTGATAAATATTGTTCTTAATAAATAGATGAATTTTTCTTAAAAGAAAAAAAAACACACAGTCTTGGACGCTTAGAAGTCTGCCAACATGTATGGTTCTGGAAACATATAATTTTCTTGTCTAAAATCTCCAAGAGCAAAACAGAATTTTAGATTTAAATAAAAGCTTATTCTAGCATATTTAATTCCAAAATCACCAAATGTACTTAATCCTGTTGCTTATCTTCTATCACAGGTAAGTCTTTTTGCTTACCACATACACTCTTATGGTAGCATAATAAGGGATTAGCCCCTTGATACAAGTTGCCAAGTAACTTGTATCATGTTTTTATATAAAACAAACCGTCGGGAGTTTGGAAGGGAGCCCAATAGACTCACAGTTCAAAGCTTTCAGATCCATCTACATGTGATTGTGCTAAGAAAGGCTGTCTTTTGGGCTATTCCTCTGTACAACATAGAAGGCCAAGAACTTTCCTCAAACTCTTCAGTTACAATTCAGTGAAATTAAACTGTGTAGGAAAAATGTTGAAGGTAATCAATCAGCCCCTTTAAGGGACAAATGCTTTCAAACCACAAGAAGAAGGGTATACATTTCTAGTCAGCATCTATAAATAGATGGTTTATTCAGCAATCTGAAGATTTTATGGAGTTGTGCCAGTATTTTCATTACTAAATTCTTAGAGTTGGAAGGAAAGGGGGAAAAGACATCATTTCATGTCACCACCCCTCCCAGTGCTACTACACTGGCCGAGCAGAGCAAGTGGAAAGTCTCAGTGCCTAGGGCTCCCAAAGACATGGTCGTGTTGCATCGTGGCCATCCCACTACAGGCCTAGGACCTTGTGATGCCAGGGCGGGGATAGGCCTGGGCACATATAGAACATAAGGTCCTAGGCAGCAACAAGTCAGAATAAAAGGAATTTCCCTTGGAGCCTTTCATTACACCTGCTTTTCACCTTCCCAAAGTGTGGTCTGCAAAGTCCTGGAGA